TCTTCGTCATTCGGAAATTTTTGGCCTACACCCCCCCAACTATAAATGCTAGCTACGGCACTGATTAATACACAGAACGCCATTATATAAATTACAATTGCATGTACCTAAAAGTTTTCTTGTTGTTTTTCTGTAGATAAAAATTATCGATGGTCAATGGGTGCAAAAAGTTGCTAAAAATTCGCTATTTCATCTTCAAAACAAAATTCCTAGCTCATAAATGCAGTCGCCATGTTGTTTGACTGCAAGATGACGTCTCCTAACGTAACGTCGTCCACTATATCTTGTGAAACTTGATTTTACCTCTTTTATGTCCTTCCAAATTATGCTTTTCTTTAGCAGTTTCGTCTTCGGGAACCAAAGGACAAGTTTTTAAATAAGAAATTTCTTCTGCAGGAATGGGATAGGCTAAATGGCGCGGGTCGCGAGTCAATAGATCATGGCGCGGGTCCAGCGAAAATGGCGCGGGTCCAGCGAACATGGCGCGGGTAGCAAGTTCCGAGGCGCGAGTAAAAAGTTCCGAGGCGCGGGTAACAAGTTCCGAGATCAATTACCCGGTACTAAATATATTCAAGATGGCGGCTATTTTGACTAAAAATTCTGCAATTATTCGGTCAAATATCGTCTCTTTCTGTGGAAACTCTGCGAGCTTCAAACTTAAACTAACAGACATCAATTAACTTAAGAAAATCACGTTTGAAGGCGTTATATTCTGCATATTTTTAAACGCAAAGAGAGTGAACAGTTGGAATGTTTGGATGGAGTCTGTCACTGTCAGTATATTTAATAATTTTATTAATTTATATACTGTAAATACTAATCTGTTAAATAAGGTAAAAAGATAATTAATCAAAATTCTCTATGCAATTTTGGTTAGAAAACCCCCACAATATTCTAAGCATTTTTTGCGGCTTAAAAATTATAGTATTTATACCAGTTAACCAGTATTAATCAGTATTTAATAATTTATGAATTGCCTGATTCATATACTGTATGACATTTTTAATAATTTAATTATATGATCAGTTTGACATAATTCTGAATGCATTTTATAGCCTGGTCGTTGACCAGGGCTGAAATACATGCTAATATCTAATAAATTGAGTGTGAAAGTGCCTTTCTGACAATTTTTGTACAACTTACTTACTAAGTACTTCTGCACAAATAGTGTTCAGGCCCATCTACACAATACGACTAGTCATATACGATTCTTATCCTGTAGATTGGCCTTTACAGTACAGCCATTATGCGTGAATCAATTCCTTCTGTTACCATCCTCCCCCGGGGAAACCCCCGGGACAATGCAAAAAAACTAATCCCGGGGGTAGGGAATTGTTTGAATAATTTTGTCCCGGGGGTTACCCCCGGGTAAAAAGCAAAGAACCAAACAAAAAATGCCAGAGGTCAACCTAATAAGTCAATCTCATACTTAGGACTTTGTTTGGTTGCACATCAAAATGGTGGCTATAAACTCTTTTGCTTATAAACTCGATGCATTAGTGTTAATTTGAGCTTGTATTTTGAGTTTAAGTTTAAGTTTGAAGCTCGCAGAGTTTCCACAGAAAGAGACGATATTTGACCGAATAATTGCAGAATTTTTAGTCAAAATAGCCGCCATCTTGAATATATTTAGTACTGGGTAATTGATCTCGGAACTTGTTACCCGCGCCTCGGAACTTTTTACTCGCGACTCGGAACTTGTTACCCGCGCCATGTTCGCTGGACCCGCGCCATTTTCGCTGGACCCGCGCCATGATCTATTGACTCGCGACCCGCGCCATTTAGACTATCCCTTGAAAGGGTATGGCAAACTTGGGTCGCGCTTGGATACACGCATGCATGCCCATAACTCTTTCTATCCTTCGCACGGTGTTGCAACAAACCTCAACCATATGTGCGAGCGAATACCGTGCGTGTATGTTTAAAGCAATGTGTACAACGGCATTTTTTTGCCTTTTTACGTGTTGGGGAAATCACTTGTTGTCCCAGGTCATCGAGTGTGCTTCAGTTAAATCAGATTGTCCAACTTGTCGACCATTCAGGCCCCGATTACACTATACCGGATTGCATCGGAGCGACGCGATTTCTGTACCGGATTGGCCTCTTGTTTACACTACGCCACTGTAATCCGGTACGTGCCGCGGCGCGAAAATCACTTCGCTTTGGAGGTGATATGAAAAGTAATATAAAATATATAATAAAACCAAGTGTAATCAGGCAATCCGGTACGCTCCGGTACTATAAATAGGTTTCGGCAAGTATATTTTAACATTGTCGTTTTATTTACTCGCTTTTAAATATTTTATAGCTGTTGTTTGCTTCGCTTTACAATTATTTATTATTTCTAGCGAAGACAAATAGAAGATAGCGGTAATAACATTGACTTCTTGCTTTCAAAAAAGCAAAATTTAATGAAATACTTGTCAATTTTCGATAAGAGCGAGACAAAGCAACGTCAGGTGGTCAAGCTTTGTAAACAAAGTTATAATTCACAAGTACTGTCGAGAAAACGTCCAAAATAGTCAAAACTTATTATTTGTTTCCGTGGCAACGATAAAAGATACGAGCTTGCAACAGAGCGAAGCGGCATAGTGTAAACACCCTTGATTTTGGCTTCGGTGTGAAAATTGATCCGGTATGAAAATCAATCCGGTATAGTGTAATCCCAGCCTGATACAAAACATGTTTCCAGAACGTAGAGCAGTTATAAAGTTCTTTTTTCAGGAGTCAAAGTGCGAAATTTTTTTCGGCACGTTCAAACTTGTGTAATATTTTGAATATCAAGCTGTTACCCAGGAAGTTTTTGCTGTTAGTGGATGTAAAA